TTCACCGTTCGGCGCACATTCGTCGTCCCCTTTATTTCGCGGTATTTACCGGCGGATAGTTCGAAAGTCGATGCAGCCGAGTCACGTAATAAAATTATAAACCCACGACGGGGATGACTCAACGGGCGGGTTAAGGTCACTACGTGGAAAGGAGAGATACGTGACGGGACGTGAGTGTGAGAAAGAGAGGGAAGGAGGGGAGGGAGAGCGAAGGAGAGAGAGAAAGAGAGAGAGGAAGAGAAAGAGAAGTCAGCACGCCCTACTACTCGGCGCTCGCGAGAAGTTCGCGAAGTGAAAGACGTCTGTATCGGAAGCGCGGAAAATACAGGTAGACCAAGTCGGACGGGACGTCAGTTAGAGGGGAAAAACAAGGTGGGAGTTGCTCGTGCCGGCCAAGTTATCATTTGTCCCCCTCTTACCCTCGCGCCTTACTTTGAAATTCACCGTGACTGAACTTGTCCACTTTGTATTTTCAGTGACTCGCTTAGAGTAAAACGTAAGCGGTAAGATTTAACCCATTAGCGATCGGAGCGTGTTCCATTTACGGGACGTTTATTTTTTTATTGAATAATATCTCGGTTGATAACTTGATTAATGTATCGATTTATTTTTAACGCTTTCGCAGCACGTAATTTCCGGTTGCGTCCACGCCTTCGATAAAGATAGCTGAAATTCAACCACTTTGAGGCTCCACGCTGAGAGATAGGCGTACGACATTTCCGACTATAATTGCACAGTGAAATAATTATAGCCAAGAAGGGGGAATTTTTGCAGTCAATGTGCTGCAACGTTATCGATAATCACTTTATATGCGCGTTCTACTTCTTCTTTGACAGAACAATAAAACAGTATAGTCGGCGCTGGGAATCACTATAATTTGCAGTGAGATGAACTTTTCTCTCAGTCTGAGAAATAAACGGGACCGGTCCTCTGGATAAAGGAATGTTCGCGAGATCATTACGGTTTTCAACAAAGTCAAAAGCAGCAGCATGAATCGGCCAATCGTTCGCGTACGAACGGGAACGTGAGAGACTACCGTGTCGAAAATCTCAACTGCGACCGACGAGACGCGAGATCGATTTGCTTACTACTCAAAGCACTCTCATCGCTTGCGTTTCTCCACGTACATTGTAGCATGTCCTTAGAGTATCGGAGACCTCAGGTTATCGTTATCACCGTATTTCGGCGTCACAACCGATAACCGACCTCATCCGCGATATCCCGCGGTCGGCGGCGCTTGAAAAAATATCGACGAAGGTCACGATAGCGAAACACCGGTGATCCGACAGCACCGAGAACGCTCTCTTTCATTTTCATCCGGACTATCGACCACGTCGTAGCTCCCTCGTCGGAGAACGCTCGTGTGCAGAGCAGGTTCGACAAACTCTCTCGACGAGCGCAACGAGGCGGTGGCCGACCAACGTCACCGCCAACGAAGGTTCGTTTATGCCGCGGTGTGCTCCCTGCGTGCGTGCGTGCACATATATCGCTCTGTACGTATCGACGTGTACGGCAACGCGAGTTGAGGAATATCGTTCGACATACGTACAGCGCAATGAAATAACTCGAATAATAATAAATAAATAATACCGACCAATATAATTGCCGGTTTATGATATAATCCCGCGGATACGCGCGTGTCGCGCTGGCAGTCGGCGGAAATCGCAAACAGTACTGTCAATTTCGAGCACCCGGGTCGTCCTGCGGGTATTACCGAGATACTCGAGTATAGAAATACTCGGGTAATGTAATGAGAACAATAATCGTAACGCGAGCGTCTCGTTCAAGCGTCACTTATATACGTCACTTGTCGTTTTCGGATCCCTCCTACATACGCGAGAATTTCGCAAATCTGTGAACAGAGTATCTCAGCACTGAACGATACCCGCAAATAGCAGGTTTCTGCGGACGAATTTTGAAGCGACAATTCTGATACGAAAATACTGAGGCATCCATATTTTTCGAGTTACGAATCAAGGAAAATGACGGTTTCCTCGTGAGCTTCAGAAACCCCAACGAATAATAAAATGACATGTTTTCGATCACTTCAAGTGGAGTACGCTTGTACAGAGTTCTAATTGAGGGCTTCATCGAAAGAAAAATACTTGATATTTGTAATTAAAATGTCACAACTATATGCCATGATAAAAAAATTATAGTCAGGGAAAATAGAGAGATTTGAAACAAGTAATAGTTGAATGCGATATGTATTTTTCTGTGTCATTATTTCGGTCGAAACCAAGTTTGTTGTAAAAACTAAGAAAAGGTTGAGACCGAGAAAGTAACTATAATTGTCCTCAGTGCAGCTGCATGTTACGTAATACTAAAAACTGGAAAATCGCGGTAAATGATGAGCTGCCTGGTCATTTTCCTATTAGGATTTCCGCCGCAAGGTATATCCGCTACGGGTGTGCCACCGGATAGCGGCGGAACAGTCCTGCATGCAAGAAAAACGAAATCTTTCTGCTCGCGAGAACCCCGAGGCGAATCGGCTGCGGAACGCGACGCAACGAGCTCGGCACGGAAATGAGAATCTCCACGGAAATCGGGATTTACATTCGCGGCGACCTGTCGGTCGTGTGTCGCGCGTGCGTGCATTTTATTTTTCAATATAAGCCACGCGCGCCGATATCGCGATTATAATTTTTCGCGAGAAACCGCGCGAGCGGACACGCGCGCGTCTGACAGCGACGGTGACGGTAGGTAACGGTAATCCAGATCAGTCTCGAGTCCAGTACAGTCCAGGTCGCCGAAGTTGGGCGCAGCGCGCCGTATGCACACGCTCGCAATTATCATCGATCCGCGATAAAGTCCAGCCACGATGCACGCCGGGCGGAACCGGCGAGCGCGCGTCCGTCGGGCGTATCGTGATCCGACGGCCGCTCGTATCGATCGCTCTCGGACGACGACGCAGCACACCTGAGGAGGACGCGCAAAGTGGAAAAATTCATTTCCTGCGGTGCAACGCGACGCGACCGGGACGAGATGGGACGAAGAAGAGAAGAGAGACGGCGACGCGCTCCGCATAAATAAGCGACGGAGATAAGAGAGAGCGGCAGTCGGCCCCGCGCGGCGAGAATGTCGCGGGCAATTAAACAAAATTATTTATGCGGATCGTTTATCTGCGTCACGAAAGAATACGCTGCGCCCACGAAGTCGGCCAACTTTGCCGACTTCTTCCTGTCACAAAGAGGCAAGGAGAGAGAGAGAGAGAGAGAGAGAATTGTTGCGTATTATTAATGCGATGTGCGGTTTTATTAATTATTTACGGAATTATCGGCCCGTTCATCGCTGGGTACGAGCAAAATTCTCACGAGAATCGAAAACTGAAAGGAAAAACGGACGTTGGCCCTTTCCTCTCTTTCTCTCTACTCTCTCTTGTTTCTTTTCTTGGTACAAGGTGTGGGATATCGTACATTGTGCTGGTTCTATTTTACGTTTCTCGCTCGTTCCTTTATCGAGCCTAGCGATAGGTTTTTCCACGATGGGATGGCACGAGGGGACGCGCGAGAGGGAATATCAATATATCGGCATTTCTTCACGATAATTGCATCACCAGGGACGAACACGTGTCCGCCTGTTTTTCCTCAAATTGTACTCAAGGCCGCTCTTGCAAAATTATTATCGCGTGACGATAATTTCGCCGACTTCGCCGCGAAAACGTAAAAAATCGCGCGCCTCCTTATCTGTTGACGAGAAAACGACTCGTACGATCGATTATCGCGAGCCTCTCGAAACGCCTCTTTCCGTCTTCCCCGATCGCGATTTGTATCTCCATCATGCATCGTGCGTATATCTATAGCATTGTAATCGTTCGTCTATCTCGGCCCGAGGAGGAGGAAGCGTCAATGACGACAAATGACGCGGAACGTCGGACGAGAAATAAAGCGTCTTATCGCGCTACTTGTTTCCTTTCGTGAAAGCAGACGCGATGCAGAAATAGAATTCTGCGCGCAAGAGTCACACTTTGAGCAGATCCGTGTCTTTAGGATTTTTCAAGTTTCTCTCCCATCTCGTCGGATGAGTAACGAGGAAAAGATAGAGAGAAAGAAAGAGAGAGAGAGAGAGAGAGAAAGATAAGAGCGTTTAATAACATTCTAAGGTTTACTCTCTAGGAACATGGGTTATATGTAAGAGGAAAAATATTGAGGCGAACGAAAGATACATAGAAGAAGAAAGTAAAAGTAAATGTTAGGATAAGATAAATAGATACATAAGAATGTAAAGAAAAAGTGTGTAAGAAAAATAATACAAACATAAATGTAGAAATGTGAAGAGACGTAAGAAATGAAAAAGTAGAAACCATAAATGGAATATGAATAAGAAGCGTGTGACAGAAAGAGGGGGGATGACGCACTTACATAGTTAAGAGCCAAGTCGACAAAACTGTCATTATGTTCGTATCTACGTCAAGAGCGAGCGGCCACTTGACATTTTTTTACACTTTACACTTTATATTACAAATTGCAATCTTTTTTATGCATTCACGCGATCCGCTCGCGCAATAGACAGCGCTCGGCAATCGCGCCTAAGAGCGATAATACCGACTTTCCCTTTATTATATTCGTTCTTCTTCGACATTCCGCTTACACATACTTGTGAAGCTTCTTAAGGAAGCTGATCCGCTCTCGGAGACGATGTAAACCGCTGAACGCCTTTAAGTGGAACACCACGTCGAGACACGTTTACACCTCCGTTCGTTTGGCGAACGCGCGATTCGGAAAATTCAGAAAATTCGAACGCACTTGGTAAAGAAAGTATTTGATATTTGTGAATATAATCGCATCGTGAGAGAATTATAGTCGTGAAAAGAGCATTTTTGTAGTAAGTTCCACTAGTAGTGTGTTTAACGGCGATAAAAATAACAGGCACATTGCTGCCCTACCGCCGTTTCCGTCAGAATAGCAAAAAGATACGGTCAAGGTAAAAAATGACTGTAATTTCATTGTGATTAGCCTGAGATTTTTTTCTCTCGTTCGATGTTTCCTCGATTGGCTCACCTGCGGCAGCGCGACGACGATATTGGCGTTTCCTTCCCCTCTGTAGACCGTCTCCTCGATCCTGAGAGCGGTGACGGGCAAACTCATCTCGGATACGAGCGGCGATTCTTCCCTTGAATTTCCGGCGGAAGCGGACATCGATTCCACGAAGGACGCGATGGATGTCGCGCGGTATCTTCCATCGTTCCTCGCCGTTTTATCGCCGAACCTGTAAAACACACGAATAAGAAAACGCTTGGAGGGCAGATCGGAAAACTCAGTGCGCCGGACGATCTCTTCCGCCGGAAAATTCGCGAAAAATCTCTCCCCTCGCGATATAACGCGATCACTCTGCTTCCGCAAGGATATTTCTCACGAGCGCTGCACGTGTCGAACTGCACGTTATCGCCGATCGCACGCGCGAGCACACACAAATTAAGTTTTTACGCCACGACTCCGGCAATGTTTGTTACACTACACGCAATCGTAACGCTCACGTAACGCGCGAGATATCAAGTCGGTCAAGATTTGCACAGCCGTGACATTTCTTTGGGCACAACTTTGCCGGGGCGAGCCGGTAGCCCCGGGAGGAAAAATCGTCCGGCGAGCAGGCTGTACCACCACTGTGGTATACACACACACACACACATATATATATACATCGCTATCGTGGAAATTCAAATGCGACCGGCCGATCGATTTCGATCGATCGCAATCACAGAATTGCGCGACGATTTCGCAACGCGCGATCGATCTGTCAACCGATCGCCGATCCTGCTGCTAATATTTAGCCTTCACGAAAGACCTATCGCTAAGCCGCAGACTTGGCCTTAACCCTAGCAGGACCGCCAATCCTGCGCTATTATTCTGTAACTTTTATCGTACGCGTTACAGGCGCAACGTATATACGTCACAAAATGACAAATCTTGACACGGATAAAATGTATAACAAAATAACCGCGCAACGATAAACGTTATGCGTCAACGATAACGAAATTTTCGTTACAGTAAATGGTTACACGTGAGAGAAACCGCGAGAGACCGATTATTGTCCGCAAACACGCACACACGCGCGGAAAATACACCTTCATTGAGAGAACAAAACACTTAATTTCAATCACTTAGGGAAAAACGATTAATTTCATTGTCTGTTAATGCTAACTTAATGTTAGCTTTAACTTTATTAAACCTTACGTTACCTTTCCATCGATGCACGCGGTACGCGAGTCTTTCAGCAAATGACACTGTGAGAAGAACGTTGTAGCTGCCGAGCCTCAAACATTTTTTTCTATTACGTTCTAGAAAGTTTTCGAACAACAAAGACACATGATATACTTGCCATGTGTCGATAACGCGAGTCTTAGGTCTACTTTTTTTTTTTTAAGTACACTTTCGTGCTGCGCGGTTTTCCTGTTTTCCTATCAGTGCTCGATTGTACGCTTATTTTACTCTAAAGGAAGAAAGTGCAACTTAGGAACAGAAAAGGAACTAAAAAGAACAGACCTGCTAACGTTCGAAGTCTCGCGTGCAATTCGAAATGGATATCCGAGTGTCTGTGCATCGATGGAATGGTTAAAATTAGTGTTAAGTTTTAAAGGCAAAATCAGTTTTTTAAATCGACATCTCAGCTCTTCGGGCTAAGATGAAACTTTTATTTTAGCTCTTCAAGCTAAAATCAAATTATCGTCCCGCTCTCGGGACTAAAATAAAATTATCATTTCACCTCGTCCTCTAATAATACATGCATTTTGGCAACTTATAGTCCTCCAGGATTGAGAATACGTTATATTCATCAAACTTCTTTTGTTGATCTTTTTAACAAACAATAAGCGACAGCTAAAATCTTTTGAAAATTACTCAGAAGGGTAATCTCTATAACGGATGCCAAGATGAAGATCATTGGAGATACATTAATAAATTGAAATATTTCAGGAAAATATATTTGAATTTTAGTTACTTTTTCACATTAAAATCTTGAAAAGTCGATTAATTAAGCTGAATAATTACGATTTGAATTTCTCGAAAACCAGCCATTTCCATAACTTCGCACTTGTGCTTTCGACTACATTTAGTTAATACTACATAGCTAGAAAATTTCATCAAAATCGGAAGTGGGTAGCCTTCTAAAGTCTTACTCAAATATTAAACACTTTTCTCCCAGCGTTTCTCGCTTGATGACACATACAAAATTATGCGAATGTGAGAGCGGATAAGAACGCAAATCGCGCCTTTGACGCAAATTGCTCACGCAGTAATACGAACGCAAGGCTAAAGTTTACACTGACATGTCGGATATATGCGATATTAATGAGAGGGTCAACCCACGGCAACACTTTCTCTCGCGCGTTACCATTTACGAAACGTAGATATCTTAAAAAAAAAAAGAAAAAAAAAGACAAGCGCGCTATTTGCGCGACTACCTTTGCCATTGCGCGTTACGTAAGATCCTTATTCAGGGAGTACAAATTTCTCACACCAGAAACCGGCTCGCTTTTAGACACGTCCGATGCCTTTCTGTATCTGGTGACGTAATTACTCGCTGCCAATGACCACGTAATTGTGAGGAACGCCATCAGCACGAAGAAGACAGGTATATACGCATATATAGCGAGAGGGCATCTCATTGTCCCCTCGCCGAGGCGAAGTGGTGGAATTTACGGTCGATTCGGTTGTAAAAGCGGCGAGTCTCGCGCGTACGCGACGATTTTCTTTAATTTCTATATTCATAAAAAGGAAAATGTTACTTACGGACAAGCGGTTGTCTCGTTCGCGGTAGTACGCCGAGCTATAAAATTGCATTAGACTATTATCGTAAAATGACACGGCGCGATATTACGTGCCGATGAAGAGGTGTCCGTCGTGAACGGCGACTCGATCGGCTATAACTCGGTAACACTCTCGTCTTGAAATTGGAAAACGGACTTCCACCCGCAGCGGTTAAGTCGATCCGAAATTTCCGTAATCGTCGCAACCTGTCTCGTTACTTCGAAAAGTGACGAATGAAAATATAATGTACCGAATTCAACTCATTTATGTCACCAGGGGATTCGAAAAGTATGCTTGCGTCGAATAATTTTTTCTTCAGAACCCAACCTCGAGTGTAATGAAAAGAAACATACTGAAAACATATGACTTTTGTAATTAATCTTTTTAGAAAAATCGCAATTTGAAAAATGCTTTTGCGCATCCCAATAAACCAGTGCGAAACGAACGGTTATAACGTTTCTGATGCAAATGGATTAACCTTTTCAGGAATACTGACACGTATGTGTACATTTAGATACGTTCAATTTTTCTTTCTTAACTTCAACAATGTCGACAAAATATAATGGATATTATCGCGAATATCAGTCAGAAAATCCCGCAACGAGAAAAAGAGCAATTCCGTCGTATGACTGACACGTGTCATATTAATGTCACTTCAACTGTATATAAATCAGTCCCTTCTTTGAATAAACTCCTCCCCGAAGAGGTTAAAATATTCTCGCGTAGAGACCGTCGGTATTCCCGGATCGAAATTTTCGAGTACGAAGCTACAATTATTTGTCAAACAACGACAGACCACGAATGTCGGGCTAAATGTTGACTCCGAGTATCTCCTTGTAAATTTGTCAAACGTCTGTTCAAGCCCGAAACATTAAGTATAACAAATGATTTCACGCTCACCCGGAAATATATGATGCATGTCGTCGTCCACGTCGTGGCCTGTCCTGAGTCCTCCGTCCTGGCTTTCCGATCCAGCACCCCTTTGCTGCCCCATCTTGGCACTCGTGCAAATCGGGGAAAAACGTGTTAACGCGATGCCGACGAGAGCGGCCCGATTAAATATTTCAAGAGCCGACGAAATATTTTTATCGCACCCGACGAGAGAATTGCAACCACCGCACTTGTGCTCCTTCGCGACGCGTTATATTCGTCGTTCGTCGGCTCGAAACGCAATGGCTCGGTCGCGGAAAAACACGTGAAACTACCAAAACAATGGGCAAAAAAGGGACAACGTCACCTGCGGCGTTGATCGCCAACCGTCGAAACTCAACTGCCGCGCGATAACAACAATCAACACATTCGAAATGTTGCGGTCCTTCGAAGTCAAACACACCTTCGTACGCGCCGCGTACTCTTCCGAATGAGTTTCCATTACATTTCGAGTCGATGAACGATATACATATATCGTACAGTAGTGTAGCATATACAGGGTGTCCCGGATCGACATGGACGAACTTCGGGAGGACGCAGAACGGATCGAGGTGAACAAAAAAGTTCTCTACTATTTTGCGAACAACAAAATTTTACAAAGATATTACATGGAGAAAAATACTTTGCCGACACAACAAAATTGTTAGTTACTATAGAGACAGTGAAAAAATTTGTTTGAACGGTAAAACAATTTATTTGGATGGCAAAAAGATCTGTTAAGAGTATTATTGAGTGCTATTTGCTGGATGTATATGAATAGCAAAATAACTTAGATTATGTCAACTAAATTTTATCGCTGTCACAACAACAAGCAAAATTATGGTTTCCGTGTAACGAATCTTTTTGTTGTCTCCATAGTAACTAACAATTTTTCTGTGCCGGCGAAATTATTTTTTTTCCGCGTAATTATTGAAAACGATCATACACAGAGACTTTTTTCATTAATAACTCAAAACTTTGCTTGTTATCTGCAAAATGATACAGGACTTTCTTTTGTTCACCTCAATTCATTCTACGTTCTCACGAAGTTCGTCCATGTTGATCCGAGTCACTCTGTATAATAATATAATGTATTGGTTGTTACTTCCGTCACGCACGATTGAAATATTTCGGTCGGTTAGTGAAATACTTGATCGAGCTCTTCTCGTGGACGTCGCGTTAATTAATACGCGTCTCCCTCGAATCAAATCCACGCAAATGTCGGTACTAATGTCAGTGCCACGAGGAAGCACCCGGGAGCCAGGATGCTGAATCAGGAAGCCAAGAAGCGGGACGCTGGCAGCGACACATCATATATTTCCAGGTATGCCGAATCATTTATTACACAGGCGACTACGAGCCTTTCATTGACGTTTGCGACGAATTTGCTGAACGTAAGGAGCTGCCCAAGTCGAAATTCAGACCGGCATCCGTAGTGCGTCATCATTCGACAAATTGCAGCCCAATAACTATTGTTCGATCAATCTCACTTCGTCGACCCATACTTATTTATATTTCATCGAACCAAACAAATCGGCTGATTTTATCTCTCGTTTTTTTATGACACACTAAGCAGAATATACAACACGCAATTAGCTTACTAATATTTTTCATCGTAACGTAACACCAATTTATTTTATACACATTCGTTTCCGAGGACATTTTTGAGGACGTTTACAAGAATCAACACCGAATGTCTCAAGTTATCACCGATAAGCAGTCCGACTCCGTCCCCTGCTTCGGATAAATCGGCAAATAATAAATCGATAACGGCGGCACGGTTAGAAAATCCTAATGACCCGGTTACAATATGTGCTGAGGCCGATTTTACCGGTTAGTGTGCCGTGTGCGGCGATCACGGTGCCCGGATTAATTCGCAAAATCACCGGTGCGCGCTCGACCATCCAGGTGTGATGCGCAGACTATCCGAATACCCCCGAATATTAACCTCGCTATTCGGCAATATTCGGAGAAGATTCGAGCGTCCGCGTCGCCGACACCGACGATTTCTCGCACCTCGCGAACTCCCCTCCCGCCGCGCGTCCCCCCCCGACGACCGTGGTCGCGCGCGACCATAGCCCGCTTATGGTACAGTCCCGGCATTAGGCGCGAAACGATGAGTCACGCGCGAATGAAGTCATTTATGTCGGTAATAAAAAGGTCCTTGAACCGGGCGCGAACGCGCGGACTTTCGAAAGCGCGCTAACGAGCGCGCGTCGACACGAAAACGCAACTGAGTCGAAACGAAAAACTGCTAATTACCTTACTAACCTACACACACACGCGCGCGCGCACATCGGTGTGCGCCGTCGTGTCTTCCGCTCGCCGGCGCGTCTTCCAATCTATCCTCGCCGTTAGTCTAACCCGTCGTCGCGCGCCGGTCGTGCGACGCTTCGAAGGATAATTGTCTCGTCCGCCGTCTCAAAGAAAAGTCGTTGCGAACAAACTGATAATCTCGTTACAAGGCCGGTTGTATCTTATTATACGCACCGTCGTCGCGCGTCGTCTCGAAGTACTTAGAAAGTGGGGTAGGCGTGGTTGACGGTGCGACACGTGAGGAACCGACACGGGCGCAATTGCAACGCGCGTTTTCCGCACGAACGCGACATGTGCGCTAAAGTTTGAACAACAACGTGCTATAAAGTACTTTATTAGTTATTATCATAGCGAGCGAGCGAGCGAGCGAGTATCCGTACCGCGCAGCCGGCTGGTACCGGCGTTTCTTTTGAATTCGCGCGACCTGTTATCGCATATCGTTAATCTTCCGCGGATTTTTTCGGCGCGGGATGAAGTTCGATTTTAGATCGACTCCGGATCGTGATTCCAAAGATCGATCGCGAATCTTGCCCGCGAGATGCGAAACCTCGCGAAGGGTAAAAATGCTTTCCGAATAATTTCGTAGTGGAAAATCCGCGCTTCCCTCGGATTCAAGTTGAGGGAATCGTGCTGAGGGATTAATATAAATTTGTTATTTTTCTTTACAGGTGTAAAATGCGATCTTCCCGTTTACGTGAATAAGTGAAAAAATAAATGCGAATAGAAAAACTGTCATGATCGACTCCCAACACGAGACCGCTCACAGTTCTGGATCGTCCGCGATTCCAAGGATCGATCACGAATCTTCTCTCAAGTCTGATCTCGCGAGAGATGAAAAGTGTTTTCCCGAATACTTAAAAATTGGAGAAATCTTCCAGTTTTTCACGAATTTAATCCGAAGGAGAAGATTCACGACCAAGCGCGATCGAACAATCGCAGTTCCCATGCCTCGTATCGCGACGGAACGGCGCTCCTCCTCCCCGCGATCCGATCGCGAAAGTGCGACGACGCAAAAATGCGCGCACACCTGGAACACCCTGTATCTTGAGAGCGACTTTATTGGCACTTATATACGTATATATGCGCGCTCTCGTATAGCGCCGTGCCGGCGTATCTATAAGTAGTTTGCGACGTGGCGGCCAGAACCGAATCGTCTTATCCGTTTTCGCGTAAGGTTAACGACCGCGAGACCGTTGCGAAATACCGAACGGATCGCGAGCGCGAGAGGAAGAAGAAGGGTGGAGGGAGGGGGGGGGGGGGGAAC